ATGACTTAGCTCCACCAAGCGCCATTCCCCTGTCCAATAAAAGTGTCTTAGAGGAGAATAGCAGTTAGCAAGTGTTGTTAGCCATATAGTCAGTCTCTAGTATCCAAACCAGAGAGGGTGACAGAAAAAACATTTTTGCTAATAACGGTAATGGAAGGCATCTTTTGGTGTCCGCTCTTAGGCAGAACTTTCAAAAGTTAAAAAGGGGATACAGGTTCACTATAATACCTCATGCACACAGGCAGAAAAAACACCACTTTTAGGGGCATCTTGCTTTTTTATCCTTGTAAACACAGCTCTATTTCAGTCAATGTGTCCATGTACATTATGACATTCAGATCCATATTTTATAGCAGCATTCAGGGTCATAAAAATTAAATGCTCCAAACCAGCTGTCACATAGGCGCTTACAGGTATAATTTAGGCACATACGCAGATAAATTCATATAAACGCAGGTGTAGAAGTGTAATTTCATTCTAGTGTCCAGCCAATAGAATTAGCATAGGCTCATATGCCTTTAATGCCATGCGCTCGTAAATGCAAGTAATTAATAGAAAGACCAAGAGTAGATGGGAGTATTTTAATATGCCCGTGTGCATGAACGCCTAACTGAACATTTGCATTCTGTTCAGACTAAATTACAATAAAATAGAAAAATATTGCATTGTGTTATTAAAGGGTTCAGTATTGAACCAATTAAATGAACATATTTGGACTGCATAATTCTGTCGTTGACAGATCATGTATAAGCATGCAAAACGTATCTATGACCATGCATCTTCATAGAGTTGAACGGAACAGCCATGTAATCATGGATTTTAAGTATAACTCCAGCATTGTTAAGAAAATCCCCTGTAAGTAAACCACATATATTGGAAAGGATTTTAACAATAATTTTCGCAGAGTTTTACATTTTGCTGCGTGTTACACCATGTTTTCTCCGAATGATTTCTAAATGGTGGGGTCAGTCTTCACCTTAGCAAAGTCACTTTGAACAGGCCAATGGTGCTCCATCATACCTAAGGCGCTTGTAACTGCGATGCATGGCAACCTGCATTACACACATTAGTGTGTTGCAGTACCATTTATTCCTCGCAACACAAAGGCTGTGTTGCAGAGAATGATAACAGTACCATTCGTTGTGGTAAGCTGTATTGAACAAAAAGATGGAGGTGCAGTTCTGGTGCAGTGGTGAATGCAACACATGCTAATGCATGACATAATGAACAATAGCGCACATGCATTAACACAATGTACCAGAATGGAGCAGTTTGGGGGTCGCCTTAAATATGTTACCAATAATTTAATTCCTGATCCAGAACATTCCTGAAATTTGCCTTGTATATTAGTACAGACCTCTATAGGAATAACATTCCTAAGTGCATTCTGTACACCAATAGTGCCATACTGCAAGGAAGCAAAATTTTAAGTTTCTGACAATTTGCAAAACTTAGAGCTTCTGCAGACTGAAATGTAGACATGCTTTTTAATACCATTAAAACAGAAGTAAGACCAACCTTTTTTTTTGGCTTTCCTTTTCCTTTGGGTCACAGGAGTACATTTACTAACATACTCCTTTGGCCCAAACAGCAGATAGCAGGCTAATGCCCGCTATTAGAAAAATATTGGATAATGCTCGCTATTGGCTGACAGGATTGAGCCACGCCACAGTCGGAATAGATCCCAACAAAATTGTCAGGATCCACCTTTTCTACAGATCATGCCACTTTAGAACTTGTCACCCCACAAATGTCCTAGTTCTATATTTACATGCTACAGTTTTTAATTTCATCATCTGCATGTGTCCCTAGCTTAGGGATGGGGTATAAGAAGGAGAACTCTCTGCTGTGCTGCTCATTATACGCTGTAAGCCACCATGACACAAGCCTGCCTCCCTGTACATCAACTGGAGATGGGGGGAGGGATGTGATATGGACCCATAGCATGTAAGCACAGGACCAGGAACCACAGCGGCTGTCCAGTTTGAAAATGTCTGGTTCTTGTCCAATACTGACCTGCATTCTTACAAAAGTGATCAGTGAAACATGAGATTTTCAATATCAGTACGATAAAAAATCACCACTGCGAAAGGTAGTAAACAGGCCCTGGCTGGAAATGTTTTCTTGAACAAACAAAATTCTAATTTATTCTTTTGGGTAACTTTATTAATTTCCAAAATAAAATGTTAAAACCAAATGAAATTTCAAACCCCATTTGTCAAGTCTCTGGTGGCATTATTGAATGTTTTGACAATATTTTTCGTATGAATACTCGTATGAATATCTACCAGTGTTTGACCAGTGCTTAAGTGCACGTTATGACGCAAGTGGCACAGGATACATCATACAAGCCCTAACAGTTCACGTTACAATACACAAATCTCCTTGCATGCTAGTGAAAGTGTGATGGAGCAGGTCAACTTTCTCAGTGTACACCCCTCCAAAAAAGTTACCCCTTAAATACATTGATCCTATAACCAACCTGATCACCTGCTACTTGATCACCGATCTGAGTATTGCTTATGATACTTGGGTAGCATGGAGGTGTGGAAAGAAGTGATAACAAGAATCCTGGACATAGCTTCTAGAGATTTTCCGGTATGCTACAAATATTCTGTGGTTGTTTTAAAAAAATGTTTCCTGTTCTCCATAGAAAAGGGACCTGTCCTTTTTCTGCTTACATATGTAAAATTAAATAACCACAGAATCAATAGTATAGAAAAGAAGATGCAAGTGTGCAGTGAAGACTATGAACTCTGGGGGAGCACTTATCTATTCTTTGATAAGACCATGATTCTACTTCTGTATGGTCCAGTTTGTGGCCCAGCATGGCACAAGTAATGATAACTATTCTACTGCATTAAAAAATTACCTTATTGATCGATATATGCATTCAAACAAATATCTGTTTGTATTAGAATCCTCAAGCTGCTCGCATTTACAGACAGTAGTTAGAGGATTTCAGTATATTTAAACTACAGTATAAACTGAGAGTTGATAAATATGTTCTCTGCACAGGTCAATCTGATGGTTTTAACCAACAACAGAGTATTAAGAAAATGTGTATGGAAATAACATAATCTGTTGCATGATTATAGAAGAGCAGATGATATATGTGTAAATACCAGTGACTATTACACTACCTTGCAGTTTCATTGTTTTCACAATGTGGACAATCAAGAAGGTTCGGCATTTTGTGTTTTTTAGGGTACTAAACAGAAAAAGAACACATTCAGGAAAACTGTTTATAAATCATCACCCACTGTTTTACAAACCCCAAACTTTAGCTGGTTACAGCATATAGCTAAGCAGAACTCATGCTTAGGGCACACATGTAAACAACAACAGAAAATTGGAAAGATTCCAAAATCTACACAAATACTGTAATCTCTGGTTCTCTCCTGCTTGAGCTCTTGATACACTCCACTTCCTAATAAATACATAATCATTTGCCAATAGTTACGTCTAAGTTAGCAGTTTGGGTTGAGCAGACTTACAACTTAAAATTCATGAGCAGTATCAAAACCCACATTGTAAGAGTTAAAAAACTTGAAATTGTATTAAAAATAGAAATAATGCTTATCATAATGGCATAATAATTTTGTTTCATTCTCTCTTGAGTCAACCCAATGACTGCAAGAGTGTAGTAAATCCAAGCGTACAGCCAAGGTTTAAAACCTTACACAAGGAGATTAAGTAAGCACATTAAGCAAACACTGATGGATCAATGTCTTTTGAAGAGTTCTGGGTTCTATACATGTAAATAAAGCAGCTAAAAGACTGGGAAGCACAATGATGAAGCAGCTCTAAGCCGGGCAGTTTAAGACAGTTGATTTTTAGAAACAGACATCCTATCCTATAAATTGAGCTCCAAAAAGTAGGTAAAACTTGGCAAAGTGTCATCCAATGAAAAGAAACAAAAATCAGGAGGGAAATTTGAAATAATGAAATCAACAATTCGACTTCATTATCATTCAAATAGATACGTTCACACCAACAAAGGCATGGACACATTTATTGGTACAGAAGCAATAGGTTTTATAATATGCATAAATATAAACACTATATACACTGAGACAGTCCTGTAAATAGTCATATTGTTTGTTTACATTTATAGTGTATTAAAAAGTTTTTCTATATGATATATTAGGACAGATGTTAAGTGACAATAGGACTGTTACACATTTAAAAAAATGGTTTAGCCCCTAAAAATCATAGTAGTATAAAATTATAAATAATAATAATGACCACAATAATACTATAAAATAATGGTATAAAATAATAATGATAACAACAGTATAAAATAATAATAATAACAATAATAATACAAACTGCAGATGAGATGAGAAAAAAACAAAGTAATGTGACAGAAAGTAAAAGTAACCGATCAAAGCTGATCTGAAAACTAACATCCAATTTTTTATCCAGCACACCACAAACAGCTATTTAGCTTCAACCCAACTAGGCTGGAAGATGGGAATGTTGTCCATTGGTGAAGAAAGTTGCAACAACAAAGCATTGCACTCCCAGGAAACACATCTGACAGAGAGTTCACATCACATGCACAATGATAGCGGAGCCCAAAAACTCATCTCATGCACTGAAAAACATCACTTTGGAGCACCGATGTTCCACCAACAAAGCACCGATCCTCCTTCTGTACTGGGGATCCCAGAAAAAGAATGCACAGTCACAGAGTCCACATCTCCCAGAGTGAGAAACACGTTCACATGCTACTTTGGGGACATGTGGGACAGGAGCAGTAAGTTGTAACCTTCTCCCAGCATGGGATGACAAAGTTGCAGCACTGACAGAGATCCCTGTATCCAGGGTAAGAAGAGCATCACCAGAGCATGCGGAGCATGCATGGCTTATCTAGAGCCCTTTACCTCGATCCCCCTGCACTTTATTCGTTAGCTCCCATTCATCTTTCTTGCAAGGAGCATAGGAATAAAGCAGTGAGGTATATGCAGTGAACATTACAATGGATTCACACTTACTTTTCCCTTGCCTGGCTATCAGAGGGGACAGTGGATCCTTTCCCTTTGGCATACATGCTTGTTTCAGACTTTTCCTACTCAACACCTGTCAAAGGAAGCAGCCAGCAATGCTCTCTCTATCTCCATAGCTACCCCTTCAGTTTTTTACATCCCTGAAGCATTGGCCACAAATCACGCACATTTTCTAATGGGGGATCTTGAAACAGCCAGAGCTTTTTTTTTTTTTCTTCTTTTTTTTTTTTGTTCAGCTGTTCCAGGAATCGTTCATCCCTCCCACCCTGATGACATTGTGTGTGTGTGTGTGTGTGTATGTATGTGTGTGTGTTTTTTTTTTTACTCTTAAAAGGGCAATGCCAAAGCAGCACGTGTAAGGCTACAATTATCCTTCTATTTCATTTATTTAAGCAAATAAGAATCTTTTATATCCGTACCAGTAAAAAATGCATGTAAATGAATACATATATTATAAATTAGTATTTAATTGATAACTATATATTTAGGTTACTATTCAAATTAAAATGAATCACTAAATGTATTCATCTATTTTACATTTGTGTTTTTCAAAATAATTATGCTCAGTGTTTACACCAGAATAATAAAACATATTAGATAGGTATAAGATTGTAAGCAGTAGGGCTAGTTTTAGAATTATGTTACTGTTAAAAAAAATGTTTTAAAAATGTTATATCAATAGATATTTAGTTTAAGCTGAATTATTATTATTAATAATATACAGGCTTTATATAGCCCCAGCGATTACACTACAATTCAAAACAAGATGGTTAGGAGGGCCCTGCCTGGGAGAGCAAGACAAATGACTACAGAAAATGTCAGGCTGCTGCCAATAGCAACAATGCAGATTTTTTTTAATAGTGCAAGAAATATAACACGATTGGCTTATGTGGGTCACACCTCTAGGTTAGCTGCAGAGGTCACATGACCTTCTTCTCTAGTCTTTTCTGTAGAGGAGGAGAATCCTTTTTTAGGTGTCCATGTTGTTGCGTGGGTGATACAGAGTTGCCGGCACAGACCAGGAAAGGGCACTAGTGAAGGACATGGACAGTGGACCTAGATTAGATTAACCCCTCGCTGTCCGCCCATCGTAAAAATACCTGTGGACGGCAGATGCTTCCCGGCCGGTGGACGTACCTGTACGTGATTTTTCTTTCTAGAGGGCGCGCGTTAGCAGACTTCCACCCAGAAGGTACACAGCGATTACCAGCTGTCACATACAAGCGGTCTATAGCCAGCTGATCGCTTGTATTACCCTGCAGTGTGCACACCCACCCTTTTTTGCTGCTGTCAGTTACAGAGAAACCACAGGCACAGCGGCTACTTGTAGAAAGAACGAGGAGAGATAAGCATTTTCCACACCGCTAATCTCTCCTCCTTCTCTCTCTAAAGTCAGAAGCGATGTGTATTACATCACTTCTGCCTTTAGCTGTCATTTCTCTGGCGATGAGCTGGACCTCGGGGCACCGGATTGGCAGAGGCGATAAGCTGGACCTCGGGCACCGGATCGGCAGAGGCAATGACCAGGACCTCGGGCACCGGATCGGCAGAGGCGATAAGCTGGACCTCGGGCACCGGATCGGCAGAAGCGATGAGCTGGACCTCGGGCACCGGATCGGCAGATGCGATGAGGTGGACCTCGAACACTGGATCGGCAGAGTCGATGAGCTGGACCTCGGGCACCGGATCGGCAGAGATGAGGAGTCGGGCAGCAGGCCCCGAATCAGCGGAGGCGAAGAGCTGGGCAGCAGGCACCGGATCAGCAGAGGCGATGAGCTGGACCTCGGGCACCGGATCGGCAGAGGCGATGAGCTGGACCTCGGGCACCGGATCGGCAGAGGCGATGAGCTGGACCTCGGGCACCGGATCGGCAGAGGCGATGAGCTGGACCTCGGGCACCGGATCGGCAGAGGCGATGAGCTGGACCTCGGGCACCGGATCGGCAGAGGCGATGAGCTGGACCTCGGGCACCGGATCGGCAGAGGCGATGAGCTGGACCTCGGGCACCGGATCGGCAGAGGCGATGAGCTGGACCTCGGGCACCGGATCGGCAGAGGCGATGAGCTGGACCTCGGGCACCGGATCGGCAGAGGCGATGAGCTGGACCTCGGGCACCGGATCGGCAGAGGCGATGAGCTGGACCTCGGGCACCGGATCGGCAGAGGCGATGAGCTGGACCTCGGGCACCGGATCGGCAGAGGCGATGAGCTGGACCTCGGGCACCGGATCGGCAGAGGCGATGAGCTGGACCTCGGGCACCGGATCGGCAGAGGCGATGAGCTGGACCTCGGGCACCGGATCGGCAGAGGCGATGAGCTGGACCTCGGGCACCGGATCGGCAGAAGCGATGAGCTGGACCTCGGTCACCGGATCGGCAGATGCGATGAGCTGGACCTCGGCACTGGATCGGCAGAGTCGATGAGCTGGACCTCGGGCACTGGATCGGCAGAGGCAATGAGCTGGAAAGCAGGCACAGGATCGTCCAAGACCAGCAGCTGGGCAGCAGGCACAGGATCGTCAGAGACCAGGAGCTGGACAGCAGGCACAGGATCGTCAGAGACCAGGAGCTGGGCAGCAGGCACAGGATCGTCAGAGACCAGGAGCTGGGCAGCAGGCACAGGATCGTCAGAGACCAGGAGCTGGGCAGCAGGCACGGGATCGTCAGAGACCAGAAAGCAAGGGGTCTTAAGGAATGGGCGAGGACACCACTTGCTTGAATGGGCCAGCCTGTCCAAAGGATGCAGGAAACCTCACAGGATAGTATGGAGGGACATGAATAAGGGAGGCCCCAGGGATGAAGCATCTCACACCAGGGATCGGCAGAGTCGATGAGCTGGACCTCGGGCACCGGATCGGCAGAGGCGATGAGCTGGAAAGCAGGCACAGGATCGTCTGAGACCAGGAGCTGGGCAGCAGACACAGGATCGTCAGAGACCTGGAGCTGGGCAGCAGGCACAGGATCGTCTGAGACCAGGAGCTGGGCAGCAGACACAGGATCGTCAGAGACCTGGAGCTGGGCAGCAGGCACAGGATCGTCTGAGACCAGGAGCTGGGCAGCAGGCACAGGACCGTCAGAGACCAGGAGCTGGACAGCAGGCACAGGACCGTCAGAGACCATGAGCTGGACAGCAGGCACAGGATCATCAGAAAACAGGAACTGGAGCGGCTGGAACTGGGACAGGAGCGGCTGGGACTGGAACGTAATCGGCTGAAACAGGAACGTGATCGGCTGAAACAGGAACGTGATCGCCTGAAACAGGAACAGGATCGTCTTGAACAGGAACTGGTGGGACTGGAACCAGAGCAGGCTGAGCTGGAATTAACCCTTAGTATCCCAGACGATCATCCACAGCCTCATCCTCAGAGCAGTCACTGCAATCCTTCTCCTCTGAACAATCAGTCCATTCCTCAAGATCCTCTGCATCCACCTGAGATGTAGCCAGGAGACGCAAAGGTTCTTGCTGTGTAGCCTTGGGAACAGGCGTAGCTGACTGGCAGACCGGAGCTGTTGCCATAGCATACCAGGAGCTGGGCAGCAGGCACAGGATCGTCAGAGACCAGGAGCTGGGCAGCAGGCACAGGATCGTCAGAGACCAGTGAGCTGGGCAGCAGGCACAGGATTGTCAGAGACATAGGTTCTTGCTGTGTAGCCTTGGGAACAGGCGTAGCTGACTGGCAGACCGGAGCTGTTGCCATAGCAAACTGGGGGCAGCTGTCATGATCAGGAGTAGCAGTAGTTACTGCTGTTGTCATGGGCAACATGGTTAAACCTGATCGGGACCTGGAGTTGGAACTAGCCTGCATGAACCATAGGTGATACCATGCCTGAATCAGGGGTTGGGCAAAGGCATCCACACAGACCCCCTGGTTAATAAGGAGCTGCACTGCCTCAACACATCTCAACAAGGCCTCCTGAGAACACTGCGAGTAATCTTAAAAAAACCCAGCTGGATCATCCTCCAATAGCCACTCCAGGGACACAACCTGTAACGCGGTGAATGGAAGGGGGAAGTCGTCCCCCTCAAAAGAACCAGCAGTTAGATCCATGCTAACTGTACTGACAGGGAAAAAATAAAGCTCAAAAAAGCCTGTAGGTCCCCGTGTGGTCGATTTGGTTGTACGAGGGCTCAGTGTTCTGTCAGGGATACCGGCACAGGTGACCCCACACCTCCGCATGTTCCCACACAGGCAGACCAAACATGTGTGAGCACACGGACAAGGCAAGTATGTTACACGGACCAGGTAAGGATGTTAGATTTGTATAGTTTGTTTAATATACACCTAGATAGCAACAACCAACAACAAGGCTCAGGACAGCAAACAAAAGACACATGAAACAGGACTTCAAACAGGGTTCAGGACTCAGAGGTAACAAGGTTCAGAACAGGATTCAGGACTCACAGGTAACAAGGTTCAAAACAGGATTCAGGACTTACAGGTAACAAGGTTCAAAACAGGATTCAGGACTCAGGACAAACAGGAAACAACACTGAGCCATCGTCCTGACTGCAGGGAGGGTTTAAGTACCCTCCCAGGAAGCACCAGGTGATGGCTAAGTGCTGGGAGACACCCGCAGGTGAGCACTGGAACTGCATGGCTAGCTCCAGGGCCACCTGGAGGCGCTCTGGATCCTAACAGATGAAAAAATGATTAAAAAATGTATATGTGCAATCCTATAATCCCAATCCAAAGAAAAAACAATGCTCCCCACTCACCAGATTCAAATGGTCAAATCGCATTGATCACAGGACGCTACTTTCCCCAACCAAGTGATGACTTCCAACAAGTGATGGCTATGAATCAATGAACCGGTCTCCTTCTCACTTCTCATACAAATGGATCGTAGCTGGGATTTTAGCTCACCGATAAAGAAACAAATATACCGCACATAGCATAAAATCTTTTAAAAATGTATTTTGCGCAAAAAACAGTAAAAACTTACATCAATAAAAAGTGGATAACACGTGTAACCCACAAAGGGGTATATCTCACAATATTCAGCAGGCGAATGGTCCTAACACAGCTCACACAATGGAATGAACAG